GTATGTTTGGGCCCTTGGATTCTGGGGATGGAGGAGGTAAATGGGCAGGTGTTGCACCTTTGCCGGTTACAGGGGAAGGTGCTGTAGGGCTGTGGGGAGGTGTTGGGGGTGATGGAAGTGTGGACCAGGGTGTCCCGGAGGGAATGGTCCCTGTGGAAGGCGGACAAGGGAGGGGAGGGGAATATGTGTCTGGTGGTGGCATCTTGCTGGAGGTGGCGGAAATGGCGTCTGATGATCACAACATTTCTCAATATTTAACCTTTAGGACACCTAAAATTCCTACGTGTTTCTATGAGATTACCTCTCCTTCTAAATTCCAATGAGTCCCATTAGGATCATGAGCTGCCATTTCCGTAACCAGCAGCGGGGATACCATGACCAGATACATATTCCCTCCCATCCCTTGTCAGCCTTCCCCAAGTACCATTCCATCCAGGACACCCTGGGCCACTCTTCCTTCACTCCCAATAGCACCCTCACAGCCTGCTGGAACCTTCCCCTGCAACCACAGAAGGTGTAACACCTGCTTGTTTGCTTCCTCCCTCTTCAGTATCCAAGGGCCCAAACATACCTTCCAGGTGAAGCAACACTTCCCAGAATCTAGTCTATTGCATTCACTGCTCACAGTGTGGTCCCCTCTACATTGGGGAAACAAAACGTAGACTGGGTGACCGCTTTGCAGAACATCTACGTTCTGCTCGCAAAAAAGACCCTGAGCTTCCAGTTTCCTGCTGCTACAATGCACCACCCTGTTCCCTGGCCAACATCTCTGTCTCAGGCTTGCCGCAGTGTTCCAGCGAAGCTCAGCGCCAGCTGGAAGAACAACACCTCATTTTCCACTTGGGGACCCTGCAGCCTAATGGGCTCAATATCGAGTTCAACAATTTTAGGGCTTGAGGCACCTCTTCCCAGTCCTTACTCCAACCCCTACACACCAGGCCTTGTTATCACATGGGTCTGCTATTACACATAACCCATTGTTAGCCACTAGTCCCCATTAGCAGCTATTCATTCTTGTAGGCTGCCTGTTATCTACCCCTTTTTCTGTCCAACTGTTCTTCTCTCTCCTTGGGCTCTATTTTCATTTATCATTTACACCGTACCTCATCTCCCACCCTCTCATTTGCATAAAAAAATGTTTTCCTATCTACTATCAGTTCTGAGGAAAGGTCACTAACTGATTTCTCACCACAGATGCTGCCAGACCTGCTGAGCTTTTCCAGCAATTTCTGTTCATGTTTCCAGTGAGTCCCAATCTGTTTAAGTTCTGAGGAAGGGTCACTGGACCTGAAACATTAATTCTGTTTTCTCCTCCACAGATGCTGCCAGACCTGCTGAGCTTTTCCAGCAACTTTCTTTTTGTTCCCAATCTGTTTAACCTTTGGTCATAAGTCAATCTCTCCATGTCAGCAATCATCCATGTTAACATAGGATAATGCAATTTCTATTCCACTAGACAGGAAATTCCGACTCTCATTTGACCATAAATTCGCCCCTAAAACAGGTTCCCAGCCAATTCCACAGTTCATAAATCAATACTTTCAGAATCAGGTAAATTTGCTTTGAGTCTATTTAGCTTATAGGTTGAATAGTCAACCATTAGAAGAAAGCAGAATGCTGATTTTAACAATTTATTTTTAACAAAATTAGATCATATTGTAACTTTTTAAAATTCTGAACACCGTGCAACCAAGAATATTTTACCCTAGATTTGCCATTCCTTAAACCAACTCTCTGATATTGCAGCAACTTCAATATAGTCCCACAAGGCAATCTGTGCTTGTAACTCTCAAATACTATTAACCAAACTTTGTGCAGACACATACCATGAGGGTAGTGCAAATTTAAATTTTATTTCTTTCTTCCGTGTTCTGACTCTACGTATTAACTTTCCATCCTTTATGTTGGTTTTAACCTGGCTGTCCCCAGCACTTTGTGCACCTGGTATTATCTTTCTTCTTGTCTTGCCTGGCTTCCATCACCCCAGTGAGTTCGTTCAAAGCTTCCCCAACAGCATTAGTGAAATGACGAACACGGAACTCAACCTTATCTCGGTTCAGATGACAACCCATTCATCTTGTACAGGTTCCATCTCCTCAGAGCCAGTCCCAGTATCTCAGGACTCTAACGGCTTCCCTCCTGCTCCTTCTTCCCAGCCGTTCATTCATTTGTCTTAACTTCTTTTTTCTGTACTCAGTTAAATAAAGGACTTGTGATCATTAGTAAAGTGATGGAAGGTGTCATCAACAGCGCTATCAAACAGCACCTGCTCAGAAATAACCTGCTCAGTGACGCCCAGTTTGGGTTCTGCCAGGGCCACTCAGCTCCTGACCTCATTACAGCCTTGGTTCAAGCAGGAACAAAAGAGCTGAATTCCAGAGATGAGGTGAGAGTGACAGCCCTTGGCATTAAGGCTGCAATTGATCAAGTGTGGTATCAAAGAGCCCTAGCAAAACTGGAATCAATGGGTATAAGGAGCAAATTCTCCGCTGTTTGGAGTCATGCCTGGCACAATGGAAGATGGTTATGGTTTTTGGAGGCCAGTCGTCTCATCTCTAGGACATGTCTGCAGGATTTCCTCAGGGTAGTGTCCCAGACCCAACCATCTTCAGCTGCCTCATCAATGATCTTCTCTCCATCGTAAAGTCAGAAGTGGGGATGTTCGCCGATGATTTCACAATGTTCAGCACCATTCGTGACTCCTCAGATACTGAAGCAGTCCGTGTTCAAATGTAACAAGATCTGGACAATATCCAGGCTTGGGCTGAAAAGTGGCACGTAACATTTGTGCCACACAGATGCCAGGCTATGACCATCACCAATCTGACCAACAACCCTTGACATTGAATTGTGTTTAAAGTTTTTGAGAAGATTTGTAGCTCAGGTTGTGGATGAGGTTGTAGACTTACTCGCCGAGCTGGTGGGTTTGGTTGCAGATGTTTTGTCACCCTGCTCGGTAACACCGTCAGTGCGCCTCCGGTGAAGCGTTGGTGTTCTGTCCCACTTGTTATTTATATGCCTCGGTTTGCTGGGGTGGTTGGCATCACTTCCGGTCCAACACAACCCAAACTCTGGGTCCACTATGTCGATGACACCTTCGTGATTATCAAACGTACAAGACTAGAAGAAACTCACCTACTCATAAACAACAACCTTATCGGAATAAAATTCATAGAAGAAGAGAACAATAACCAACTACCCTTCCTAGACACAATGGTAGAACGTAAGGACAACAGGGAACCCCAGACTAGCAAACACAGAGAGACCACACATATGGACCAGATACTTAATTACTCCAGCAACCACCCCAACACCCATAAATGGAGCTGCATCAGGACATTATTCAAACAAGCCACAACACACTGCAGCAACCCAGAATTGCACAAAGCAGAACAGGAGCATTTATACAGAGTTTTTAAAAGGAATAGATACCCAAAAAGCACAATCTACGGTTACCTCTGCGACAGACCACAACAAGAAGACACGACATGGCCAGACACATTGGTCACCCTATCGTACATCAGAGACATATCAGAGATGACCACAAGACTACTCAGATCCCGAGGTATCAGGGTAGCCCACAAACCAAGAACAACCCTGCAACAGCTACTGACAAACGTAAAGGATCCCACACCCACAAACAATAAAACTAATGTAATATACAAAATACCATGCAAGGACTGTGAGAAACATTACACAGGGCAAACTGGAAGAAAACTGACCATAAGGATACACAAACTCCAACGAGCTGCCTGCCAAGATACACGACCAATTCTTACTGGTCTCACTACACACAGACAAAGAAGGACACAAATTTGACTGGGAAAACACATCCATAATAACACAAGCCAAACAGAGACATGCCAGGGAATTCCTGGAGGCCTGGCATTCCAACCGGAACTCCATCAACAAACACATTGCACTGGACCCAATATACAAACCACTGAGAAACAGAACCGGAAGTGATGCCAACCACCCCAGCAAACCGAGGTATATAAATAACAAGCGGGACACAACACCAACGCTTCACCGGAGGTGCACTGACAATGTTACCCAGCAGGGTGACATAAAATCTGCAACCAAACACACCAGCTCAGCGAGAAAGTCTACAACTCACTGAATTGTGTTACCATCACTGAATGCCTCACTATCAATATCCTAGGGGTTGCCATCGATCAGAAACTCAACTGGACTTACCACATGAATATGTGGTTAGAAGAGCTAGGAATACTGTGGTGAATAACTCACTTTTTAATTCCCAAAGCCTGTCCACCATCAACAAGGCACAAGTCAGGAGTGTGATGGAATACTCCCCACTAGCCTGGATGGATCAAGCTCCAACAACACTCAAGAATTCACTCCCTAAGGGCATTGTGAGTCAACCTACAGTATGCAGACGACAGCGATTCAAAAGGCAGCTCCCCACGAACTTCTCAAGAGCAATTATGGACAAGCAATAAATGCTGGTGAATGAATTTTAAATAGTTTAGGATTGAGGTGAGAAGAAATTTCTTCACCCAAAAGTGTTAAGCCTATGGATATCACTGACACAGAGTTTCTTTGGAATGTTTATGTGATTGAATATTGTGGCGTGAATTAATCTTAACTTTGAGAGTTTTTACAAGGGAGAATTATTGATTTCATCTGAGACCAAAACATTGGGTGTTTTCAAGAAGGAGTTAAATATAGTTCTTAGGGCCAATGGAATGAAAGGGTATGAGGGAGAAAGCAGGAACAGGGTACTCAGTTGGATGATCATATTGAATGGTGGAACAGTCTCGAAGGACTGAATAACCTACTCCTGCTCCTATTTTCTATGTTACTATGAGAAAATGAATGTAATATTTCTGACGCTGGTCTGCAAGCTGATTACATGTAACACAGTGCCCTTCATTTTGGCTCCAACTACAGATTTTGTGTTCGATTGTATTGGATATTCATTGTGACTGAACTTCGAGTGACAGTTTTTTTGTTCGGTTTTCCTTTCCGGCTCTGTGTAGACATTGACGAATGTGCGGAGGGCTTTGTTCAATGTGACAGCCGTGCTAATTGCATAAACCTTCCTGGATGGTACCACTGTGAATGCAGGGACGGATACCATGATAATGGCCTGTTTGCAGCAAATGGAGAGACATGTGAAGGTCAGTGTGTTAAAAAAAACCCTTCTAACTTTACCGGTTCTTACCAGAGAACTTCTGCTATCCATTAAGTTGAAAGAAATGGAGCAAAATTTCGAATGGACTGAATTCTGACCGTCTATGGTGGCAGAATATTTCTCAATGCCATTGTATTACCACTGTTACTAGCAATTTAGCAACTGAATTAGTCATTGTGAATGATTTAGCAATCTCAAAGCATTGTGATGTGGACATTCTAATAATGTGAAATGCACCGGATAGATGTCAGTTTACAATTTTTTAATTGGACTACAACGAAACTGTAACTACATCAAAGTGTAATCATAATAAGGGAAAGCCATTGTTGCCTTTAAAAATGATTAATTCAATGTGAAAGATCTGACAGGCTCAGAACCAATTATAGGTTTCTTTGAAATGTTTAGGTGATTGAATATTATGGCGTGAATTAATCTTAACTTTGAAAGTTTTTACAAGGGACAATTATTGATTTCATCTGCAGAGGAAGCATTACATTAATTGAAAATGCTTGGAAAAATAAACTTACACGTGCTATTTCACAGATATCGACGAATGTGGGACCAGGAGACACACTTGCACCAATGACACTGTTTGCTTTAACCTGGAAGGAGGTTATGATTGTAGATGTCCTCACGGGAAAAACTGTACCGGGGACTGTGTTCACGAAGGCAAAATAAAGCACAACGGACAGATCTGGGTTTTAGAAAATGATCGATGCTCGGTCTGCTCATGTCAGGTGAGTTTATATTTTAAATATTTTGCTGACTTCTCCTCCTCTTTGTCAAGCATGTTTTCCTCAGATGGTAGCCACTGCCCAGCTGGTTGCACTCTAAGTCAAAAAAGTTGTGGGGTCAGAGCCCACTGCAGAGTGAAAAAAGAAGTGAGATGATGCTTCAGTGTCGATAGTGCCATCTTTCGTTTAAGACTAAACCAAGACCCTGAGATAACAAGGT